GATGATATACCTTTAGACCAACTAAGGAAGTGTTGGTATCAATTAGACGGGGTTCCACCTCACTGTCACAGTCAAATCGATCAACAGCTGACTGAAATGTTTGAAGATAGATGGATGAGACGCCTAGGACCGTGGAATTGGCCAGTGAGGTCTCCCGACCTCACTCCATTAGATTTTTATGTTTGGGGAGTAATAAAGCAAAAAGTTCATTCTACACCCGTTGCTGCAAAAGAGGATTTGATTGCTCGAATACGAAGAGCGTTCCATGAATTGTCTGCAGCTGAAATAGCAAAAGCGGTGACTGATGGTGTTATCTCTAGTATCAACAAGTGCTTAACTCTTAATGGGGGTCATATTGAACACTTATGACTTTTTTAAGTCATTTTTTTATCTTAGTGCATTATTATTATCAACATACATAATTAAAATTGTGTATTGCTATGTATGAAGTTGATTTTATAGAATTCTTCTTAACTTTATTCTGCTCATTGGTGGGAAATTGGGATATGTCTCATTAAAAACTGTAAATGTTACCGCTTACAATGCCATTGTAACGTCTGTGAATAAATAATAATAAATAACTGGTAACAGTTTAGTTGTTTGTTTTGAAGTTTTGCTAAACATTCCACAGCTATCCTGGCAACAAATTACATGATTTTAGGTGATTACACAAAAAATAGTAGATAACTTAAAAACTAGAAGAGATAAGTTAGGGAGCCCTGTACCGTTCGAAAGAGAATAAAATTGTGTATCAGAATATACAGGGTGTTTTATTTAAAAAACCGACTTATAAAGGTTTGAAGTTAACTAAAGTCGGCATTAAATTTCTAGCACCCTGTGTACAATTAAGCCACATTGAAAGTATAGATGGAAAGCTTAGGGATCTAGCTATCATCCCCCATTACAAATATTGTTGCTTTATCTTTATTACTATAAAATACACCTGGTTTGAAGCTAGTCACTGTTTCTCTCCATTTTTTTTTTTTAAATTAAATATCTCGAAAACGGTTAATTTTAGGAATAGGGAAACTTCATAAAAGTACACCTAAAATAACACGTAGTATCCAAAATTGCAATAATATATAGGGTGTTTCATTTAAAACAAGCAAGTGGATGGCGACTTCCGGTATAACCGGAAGTGGTACGTGGACACTATTATTTTAGTTGAAAAGGGTATGCCCGAAAACCCGGTATCCCAAATTTTCAAAATTCAAATCGAAGTAGTCTCTGAAATAATTCTAATGGGCCGTCACCGTGACGGGCCGTGTGCCCTGTATAAATGTGGGGTCTGAGTTCAACCATTGTCCAGCTACAACGTGTCCAAAATAAAAACAAATATCAGTTTTTAATTTTTAATTTCTAAACCGCTTGAGATAATTAAACCTAATTCGGTGTGCATATTTAATACGACGGTAGGTATGAAACAAAAAATTACCAGCTTTAGAAACTTACCAGTGGTGGAAGTGTGGTGATAATAATTTGTCAAAATAAAAATATATCACCCTGTATTACAAATAAAATAGGTCGTCAGATCCGCCATTGTATTACCTTCAATTTTTGTTTCTTTACACTTTTTTCTATACCAAACCGATTTTATTTGTACAGGGTGATATATTTTTTTGACAAATAATGATTGATAATACCCACATTTAATTTTTGACACGTAGCTGGTCAATGGCTGTCCTAAGATCCCACATTTATATAACAAAAAACTCTTATTTTTGGCCACATAATACGCCCCTCCATTTTTAACCGCTACTGAAGAAACACTCTGTATATTTATTACTAATAGTTCTTTTTATTTAATTTCTACAATTCTTTTATTAATTTTTCGCTTTATTAAAATTCCCAATTAAACAAGTTTTACAGTCCGTACGATATTTATCGAGATAGAATTCCAAGATGACTCCTGTGTCACTTTCTTGGAATTAACCGCATTCGACACACAGTAACAGCTTGCAGTGCATACTGTGTTTTGCAGTTACGAAGGTGTGTTTCTTCCTCTTCTTCCTTGGAATTCTATCTCAACAAATATTGTATGGGCTGTAGATTAAATAAAATAATTACCAAAATCATTTTTAATTTTGTCACAAACTGGTTTCTTCCCAACCCATTTCTTTTTGCTGCAAAACATTTTCTTAGGATGGGAATTTCTAAATTTGTAACCTTCGTTACACTTAAATTCCGCCACCATGTAACGCTTTGACTTGGGCTTTCCAGCTTCGATCCTGGTCTTCTTGAACCTGACGAACTTGCCATTATTTATATCCGGAGGTGGACTATTCCTGCAAGAGGAATCCAACTTTCCCAGTAGATGCATAGACAAGTTCTTGTAGTTTGTCTTTTGGGCAAATCCATAACCGTTTACTGAAAAGTTAATATGTTTTAATTACCGAGCTTGTGTGGTGCTAACGAGGTGGGCAAATCAAATGTAAATCAAATTTCTTTCTTGACATTTTTCAAATATCTTCTATAGTATTATAGTCTACTTCCTATTTTAAAAGCGATTCAAAAAATTTTGCCAACCAGGATACCAGAGAAATGGGGCGGTAGTTTTTAATGTCCTCGCAGTTGAACCTTTTTTATAGACTGGTATAATCTTTGCCAATTTTAGAACACTTGAAACGTGATAATGCACATTTTTATTAAATTCGTTAATAGTAAATAATTAAGTTCTGTAGAGTTGTGACAATTTTGATATTTAAAGCAAATGGATCATTACTTTTACTATTCCTGATCGAACATCATTGAAGGTAGTTTCATGAAAGGTGAATGTGACATTACATTGATATTAATAAAATCAGTTATCTGTCAGAGGAACATTGTTTTAAATTTTGTTTGCTATTTTAGAAAAGTGTATACTTATCTTCAGCATTCAAAGTTTTGGTAGGAGTAGTATTAGTCTTCTTACTGTTTGCATTATAACTGTTTATAATATTCCAAACAGCTCCCTGTTTATTGCAAGATTTACTAATGAATTGGTCAATAGATTGACTTTTCGCATTGACTTGTTTTTTTAGGAATCAGATTAGTGCCTATCAAGTTTGTGAAGATCATTTAATAGGAATAGTTTCTCACGCATTGATTTAAGATCTTTATTAAACCATTGCACTTGAATTGCAGAACTTGTAAAGACTAAAAATTAGTAAATTTTTATCTATAGCGACAGCGATTTATACCTTATTGGCTTAAATTTAATCCTACTGGGATAGTTGAATAAACGTAATATTATTATTAAACTTCAACAGCCTATATCTCGAAAATTAGTGGCTTTAGACCCTTGATTCATTAAGCATGTTTTATCTAAAATGACCAACTCCTTGAGATTGTATCAGGTATTCACGCAAGATTTGAATTTTGCCACTTGTGCGGTAAAGTGTTGCCAACGGAAAAAAAAAAGACAAGAGTGACAGCTGATAAGGTCTACGGACAGCTAACAGTTCAGGGTTATTAAAAATGGAATACTATACGAAAGACCAACGCGTAAAGGTTTGACAGCTGCAGTTCGCAATTTTCGTACGAAATATGGTTAGAATAGTGATTTTAACTTCATCAACTGAAGAAATTAATTAAAAAATCCAAGGAAACTGGATCAATTAGTGATCTTAAACGCTTTGGCCGTCCTTCAACAAGTCGTTCACACAAAACATCGAAGCAGTTCGCAAGAGTTCTGGGGCCTGTTTTTTGTAAGCACACAGCAACACGCAAAAAAAGAAATTCTTAAATCAAGAATGGTATATTTATATACAGTGTGTCTACTTAAGTTGGAATTGGTTTTATGAAAAAAAGTTATTCTTCATAAAAAGTTCTGCATGGTGTAAAATCTAAAATGCAACCTTCCAGTTATCAAAATTTCCCAGTCATATACGAGGCATATCAGAAATTATGAATTTTGCTCAAGAGTAATGTACATTTATTTTTGACAATACAGAAGAATATTATAAAGAAAAGTTATTTTGGATTAAAAGTTATTTTCAAATATGCGAAATTAGGTTTGTTTCTGTATAAATATGTATGATGTTTGTTTACTAAATATTCTTTGTATGGATTTTCCTATTTCTAAAATAAATAATTATTATGCATTCATTACGTATCTAAATTGCAAGGTTGTTCATAAACAAATTTAAAGGTTATCATATTTTTAATAGATAAGAGAGATAAATACAAATAATTTATAATGTAAAACGTAAATAATCACAAAACCTGAATCTTCATGCTAAATGGCTGTAATTGCATATTTAAAAATAACTTTATTCAAAATATTTTTTTTATAACATTCTTCTGTATTATCAAAAATAAAGGTACTTTACTCTTTACCAAAATTCATCATTTCTGATATACCTCGTATATGACTAAGAAATTTTGATAACTGAAGGTTGCATTTTAGATTTTAGATCATGCAGAACTTTTTATGGAGAATAACTTTTTTCATAAAACCAATAATAAAAAAGTTTTCCATATGGTTCCAACTTAAGTAGACACACTGTATACGCAAAGAAATATATTCGTGTTTCTAATATACCAAAATCTTAAACTAAGTAAATAATTTTTTTTCATTTAAATGGACGTTTTTTTGATGGAAGAAATCTTCCTTAGCTTATGTTTATGGTACACTAGCGGCCCGTCCCGGCCTCGCACGGGTGGACATTTATTTTAAACATTTTGGGATATAAAAAATATAGCCTATGTTACTCAGGGATAATGTAGCATTCTAATGGTGAAAGAATTATCGAAATCCGTCCAGTAGTTTTTGAGTTTATTCGTAACAAACATACATACATACAAAAATACAAATCTTTCCTCTTTATAATATTAGTATAGATATAGATAACCTTCAATAAATGTAATATTTATTAAGTGTGACTTATATTCCTGTGTGAAGTCTAACTCTCTCAAGACCCCTGGACATTCCGTATCTTCACTGTAGCTGCCTGAGTAGTGGAGTTTCTGCACTGTAAACATAAAATAGGGCAGGTAACATAAGCCGCGCGCCGCTGAGGCATCATAGACGTATTTTATT